CATATATTGCTTTTCTCATACCTAGTTCTTTCAGGAATGCCTGCCCCTCCTAATCATGCTAATCATGTTAGTCTCTCTTGGTGACAACCATGTACCTTTAATGCCTTCAACTAGCCACCCCATTAAGGACTGCTCCCCGCTGCATTGGCCTGGGTTGAACAGCCTATATTGCAAGGACGGATGGGTGGTTATATAACCCGGCTGTGAAGCTTCTGAAGGACTTAGACTGACATCATTTGCTCCCATGTCCCATACTCTCACAAGCCATGTGGCCAGGGGCTCTCTGATTACTTGCTTGTAAGTTCTTCCTAGTTTTAACAGTTCTAGCATAGATTATTTCCTAGCTACAGCACACTTAGCTATTTTTTTTTTCCTTTTTACTATTATCTGTCTTTTCCTCTGAGTCCTTGGACTTTACACAAGTCAAAGTGTCCAGCCTCTTTTTCTCTCTCCAGCTCTGCAACTGGGTCTGCCAGCTCAGCCTTTTCAGCTCTCCCTGCCTGGGGCACATCTTTTATGACGCAAAGTGGCTGTGGTCTCTCTCTGGGAGCTCCATTTGGGTCCAGAGCAGGTGAAAGATTTTCTAGCCTTTGGTAACCTTTAACAAATCTTCACATACCCGCAACATATCCCCACATTTACAACATAGTTGTGGCCCACACTTCTGTGTGGCTGGCCTCTTTTTAGTAATCCATTGTAAAAACCACATCAGCACCACTATCAGCACTTTTCCAAAACTCATTCTCAGTTTCATCATATCCTGCCAACTATGCCAATTTTGTCGCTCGAGTTCCCTTTGGGTCTCCTGCACTATCAAGCAAATCATATAACATATCTTTATGCGCATTTATTAACTTACAAAGGAATGAGTAAGTACCCAGTGCCTAGCCCCGTGTCGCAGCTCAGAGCCTGCCATATCAGACCACACCATGCCCGTAGTCACTGCCAGCATTTGCTCATGCCTCCAGGGCTAACAATCTCACCCCAGGTCCATAAGAGTCAGTCCATTCTGTCCTTGAGCTGCTGCGTGGCTATGCGTTCCCCACGCCACACGCACTACCCACAGCTTGCGGCTTCCCTCAAGATGGCTCCCAGCAGCCCCCCAGTAGTCCATGCTCTGTGGCAGGCCCCGCCCCTTGGAGGAACTAGCCAATTGGGAGACATCTGGTCAGAGGGACTTAAAGGACAGTTTTTTTCCCCTTGCCCTCCAAGGTCAACTAAGTTCCAGGTTACAATGGAACATCTCTCAAAATGTCCTGTAACTGTGGTGACTCACCTGTCCTCTCATTCAGGGAGGCCATGAAGACCCCAGGAGATAGACTTGAACCAGTGTCTGTCCAGTCTACAAAGAGGAGGGTCAACTCAGAAGAAAGATCTCATCCATGCTTCCAAGTGAAGACAGACATGGTTGAGCAGGACCTTTGACTTATCTTCACATAGATGGAACTGGTAAAAGAAAGAAGCCAGGGGCTCCTCCCAAGCCCATATGACCCCTGAGGAACAGATCCTCAAATGACCTTAAGTGTAAAAATAAATTGATTTATTTGGTCCAACTGTATGGTCTTAAACACCCAAAAGGAAAGTATAACCGAAGAGTAAAGTCATCAGTGTATTTTTTTAACAGTTCAAGGGATTAGACCTCCCAGACATTAGGCTTAAATCTATATAAAAAGTTATTTAGAAAATTATTTCTCATTGATGATTTTCTTCCTAACCAGAAAGTACTGCTCAGATGTAAGACTTCAAATCTTGGTCTCCAATACTGTAGTGCCCACCTGTAGCTAAGGGAGACAAGCAGCTATTGTTCTAAAATGACAGAAATTTGTTTTCTCCCCCTATCTAGAAGCCTTTGAGAGGGAAATGACACTGATTCAAACTACTGCAACAGTTATCACAATGCCTGAAAGCAAATCCTGAGTCAATCACTCTCGAGTCCAGCCTTGGCAGACAAAAGAAAAATGAGGAGGAACCCAATAGAGGGATGCTTTTG